CGCCGCAAACAATCTATTGCGTTAAAGTTGAATGAAATGTCTGCGTTCTCAGCAACTTTATATAATAAACTTCAGTCGTAAACTAAACTTGTATGTAATACAATTAGCTTCAATCTTGATATTGAAATGACAATGGAGGTTTCCGTAGTTAATATTAAGCAAGTCGCAGAGACGCTAATGTACCAATTCCGTTGTTATTATGCACATTCTTGGATCGTGCCACGTTAGTGATATGTTATTGGCCGATACCTCATATTTCCGGAAGCGCACTAACCGATCAAAGTGGGGGGCATGTGCGAAATATTTGAGTGACCTGTTGAAGTTACCCTTTTCGATACCGGGGGCGGGTGGTCGGTATACGTTACTTAATAATAATGTCAAACTTTTGAATGGATAACTATTGCAATATTAGATCATCATCGATCCGAAACAGAGATCGTGGATGGGTATAATGCCTCCGATCAATAACAGGATGTACCATGTCATGAAAGCAATGACTGAACACGTGAGCTATTAATGAAGCAATATGAAATGGGCAGCTAACTTTATTTGCTCCTGCCAAGGTTTGCATACGAAACTGTAGATCTTCAATCACATATTCCCGTTCGCCAAGAACAGTTTATGGACATTAAGGAGGGGGCCTAGAGTTTGGAAATAGATGTGTGTGCCAAGCGTTGGTATACCTAAGTGTGTTTGATCGTCATTGGACAACTAATTATAGCAACAGGACGATATGATATCGTAGTATCAACAATCAACTGTGCTAAATCTGGGAAGTGAAAAACTAACGTCCACAGCCTATAACATATTAAAACTTAGATAGAGGATGTCAGCATTGGCAAAACCCCCCTGTTTGTATACCAATTCACCACTTCACTTTGCCAAGCGGTAAAAGATATCTTAGCATTGATGAACCAATGTAAATTGGTTAAGGTTAAACTTTCGCACGGGTGCATATTATAACCAAACCTTACTAATGATGAGCAATCTGTATAAACGGATTCGGAGTATATGTCGGCGGCTAACTTCACCCAATGTCGATCAATCGGCTAAATTACTTCCGGCTTTCAGTGTGTAATATCAACAATGTACATGCTCCGGTTTACTAGACAAGTATGGAAATCTGATGGTTTGTAAGCTTACGCCGGCAAAGAGAATGCGACAAATAACGTTATCGTTGCGTACGGCTTTCTTTTGAGCAGTGCTTTCATCGCATAGTTTTGTGTTTTTTGAATTTAAACGTCTATTGAGCATTAACTCTGTCATTTTTCGTCGTGCTCGATCCAAATTACCTTTTTTGAAATTAGAGCTAGAGTTTATTTGCTAATAATTTGGGATAATCTTTATAGAAATTCCTTAATATTTTAATTTTCTTTCTTTCTTTCTTCTTTCTTAGCTTACTCTAATGCCAATCTTTATTTAAACTTATCATTAGGCCTTGTCTATCATTTTCTTTCATAATCAACGATCGGTTTAGATTATCCAAATTAGGTTTGATTCCCTTGGCAATGCAAGTAGTCAAATTCCCTTTCTTGATCTCGTTTTCGGCGATTGTCATCACAGTCTGATATTTAATTAACTTTCTTTAGATATGGCCAATGAATTTATGTCCAAAATGCTATAATTGACATCTTTACGAATTTAGAAATCAAGATACGTGAAATCATTGAACTTACCAAAAGTAGTATATTAAAACAAAGGATAAGTCAAATTTAGAGTTTTTTCTCCGAGATGTGCGTTTGTGAGGAATTAATATTATTACAGTCCTACCTCAGTTTAAAGTGGGCGAATAAAGACCCTCAAAACCTCAGTTTAAAGTGGGGATATAAGTAAGAGTTTCAATAATCTTGAAACATCGAATGATACTTTCCGGCCAAACAATGTAATGGCCTGATTTATTATGTATTTTATGGCCTGACTTTATGTATGGCCTGATTTTACGTATTAGTATGGTCTGATTTTATTAACGTTTGACCAAATGATCAGACGTATTCATATCCATTCATACAGAAATGGCATGATTTTTATTTGTGTGCATGGAAGTAGAATAGGGACATAACCGAGGTTGGGATACAAGGGGGGGGGGGGGGGGGAGATATAACGACCGTATTAGTATCATGTTCCGGATAATGGTTTAACGCCATTACCATTATAAACAATTTGTTGTAAAAACGGTAATAGACTTTATCATTGTCGTTACGTTACGTTTCTATCAATTTAATTTGTATACTACGACAAGGATATACAGTTGCCTTCCTATCAAAAATAAAAAGAATGATGACAAAACTCATGCAACTAGTTCATTGTCTTTAACAAAGACAAATTTGCCTATTATGTGAACGTCTTGTGCTTTATTGTTTTTTCACACTCAACTTAGTAACAAACAGCGTCAATGCTCCTCTTACACAAACAAAGGGACGTTCCCGATTCGTAGATGGGATTATGTTACAGTCCTATATATCACATGCTCGCACATAAAAGAGATTATGGCAAGCTTTGGTCCTAAGCCTACGTCGACCTTGGCCAGAACTATTTGTCAGGCCCATCATCTTGCACGACAAATCTTGAGTTTGAAGATGACCGCAAACTAGTCATATTGCCCTAATGGCATGTTGTTTGTATGCTGTGTGACTGTCTCAAACCAATGATAAATGAGGAACGTTTCTATTCAAACTTTATTACCAGCCACAAGTGCTATGGGATCTATAAGCCGAGAATGGGAAATCTTGACTCATCGAGAGAGATTTGCATACTTCTCCAAAAACCCTTACATGGGACATCAATGTTTGCATCTGCATACGGGGTTATCCGCATAAAATTGTCTGGAAATATAGCAAAATAAGTGTGAAATATATTATATCTCAGGTTCCATGAGAACTATCGAAAATCCACAGAGAATGACACTTATTTTACTAAGCAGCATTCGCCCCGCCCTGCCCTCAGTCCGCCATGACTACTATGTATGCCGCAGTCCGAGATAATGATTATCAGAGATGGAAAAGGCAAACAAGAGGGCTCTGAAAGCCCGAGTTGAGGATTGTGGACGAGGGCAACTATCATGAAAAGGCTAGCTAGATACAATAAAGACGTAAATGGACAATCATATACTAATAAGATTCATACATCGGCAGAAAACTACCCACATATTTGTCATTTGTTGTTTACCCCTCCACCTCCCACTCGCTGTGTATATGTGCATGGGAGAATGCTCGTGTGTAAGTACCCAGATCGTGAAAGATAATAATAGTTAGTGATACGATTGTGTATAGCCAGGGTTTTCCCATGTTGCAAGATGTATGGTGCTTGATGATATAACATGACAAAGCAACACGAAACAATTGTTATTCAAAGATTGAATGAACGGAAAAGAAGGGGAGGAGATATTTTATGTTAAACATGGTATACTATTCTATTAAAATCCATAAACTGGGATTAATTTGTTAAGGCTAAAGTTGCCCTTCATAATTCGTTAACCTTTTTAGGAGTAGTCAAGTGGACAAACAGAGAATATCGATATGGTTTATTGCTTTATGGGTTAATGGGTTTTAGTCAGGTGATTTCACTTTCCCGGATGAATAATAATAAAAAGTTTGATATGGGCCTTTTGTTGGCAAATGTTTTGATTGATGTGAGATATTATTACTCTCATTCATTTGCATCTAGTCTGCTCTTCGACTCTCATTTTCCGCTCACACACTCGCACATGTCAGTGGGATACGATTGGGGTGATGATGGTCATTTGAGCAGTACATCTTTGATATGAAACCCATTTTATTGGTACTAAATCAGACGATTAGTGCATTATACTGTTTTATTAGGGCCACCCAACGCTAACCAAACAATCACATGCCTACTATTTATGTCCTGCTGATACCAGAAATCAGAAGTCAGTCTAATGCATATGGGAAAATAATAAAAAAAATGAAACAAATTGTTTGTTTGACAGCTAATTGGGATAATAATGGTCCTTGGAAGAAAAAAAAAATTTTTTTTTGCTGCGGATGCGGAAAATTCATGCGGGAAGTGATGGAACCGAAAACGAAAGATTTTTTAAAAGGAAATTATCGGGAATAGCGTAAACCCAATTAGCGAAGCAACAGATAATTCAACGTTTGGTGGTCAGCTCGGCTGCGTCCTCCTTCGTAGGAAAGCCTCCGTAGAAAAATGAAAAAATTTTTTACCCCAATCAATAACAGACGGGCAATAACATTCCTTTATAACTACTGGCGCAGTCAGTACAACATTGGAATAACGTTCGTTTGAGATAGTTTAGAAATTTCTTTGGTGAACCAGACAACCAATGGTTGAAGCACTATATAATGGAAATAGGAAAGAGTAATGAGTGGTACGATATACTAGAATGGGCATATGATAAAGAGAGGGGTGGCCGTAATTGTTGTAATTGTTTCTATTGTAAATTTACATACTTGGTTATAGTTACTATTGTCATTTGTGATCTCGCAACACACGCCCCCATTTTTATTATATTCACAGTTGGTTTTTCCTCACTGGTCCCTCCCCAAAAGTGTTTGTTGTGTTGTGTTCTGCTGTAGAGCTATACATTTATATTGTACATTATAATATATAACAATTATAATATATAATATGTACGGCATCTATATAAATTATATTACTACGGATAAAATTGATTCCCATTTCCTGGCCTATATATAAACAAGAGTTCCCCCACACTTGCAAAAAAAAAAAAACCCACAAAATCTCTCTTCAACGGAAGAAAAACGAAAACACCATAGAACAACACCACATCACACTTCGCTACCATTAACAACAAAAGTCAAACAACAGATACAAACGACGCAAAGAAAGAACATTAACACTTTCGATATACAATAGCATTTTTATTATATATTTTGAATATATACATAAATACACGAAAAGTGCCACGCATTCAAACCTACATCTTTCACGATATCGACTGACGGAAATCGTTAACCATATCTCCACACACGCCCACACCGACTTCACCGACGACTTCTCACATGCCAGCAATAACTTGCACAACCATTCCACTTCCCGCAACATCACCGCCGTCTTCGCCAACAGACCGTCAAACTCCACGTATCAAATCACTTATTGTCGATGACAATGGAATAACTGCAAAAGTACTTTGCAAAATCCTATCAAAAGAATTCGGTTATTCGACTACGTGCGCGGTCAGCGGGAAGGAAGCGTTAGTGAAATTATCACAAGAAGTATTCGACGTAATATTCATGGATATCGATATGCCCGAATTGAGTGGGATAGAAACAACGATGGCAATACACTCGAAAGGAAGCGTGGTGCTAGAAGCTAATCGGACCATACCCATCATCGCCTATACAACAAATCCGTGCGATAGTAAATACTTTGAAGCAGGAATGAATGGATGGGTTGGCAAACCTGCTAATCAAATTACAGTGCGAAAGGAATTGGAAAGAGTTTGTATTTCAATGTCCAGTTGACTGGGGGAAGGCGAAAAGAGGGATATAAATATAATCAACAGAAGAAGAAATGAGAGAGAGAATGAGAGTGAGTGAGAGAGACAAAGAAAGAGAATCCGACAGCGCTGAGCGACAATGAGAGAGGGGAAGAGTTAGCGATGGTATATTTACTTCTCATTCCACACACCAAAAAGGACTATTTTCACTGCAAATACAGAAGGGTCAATTGACCAATCTCCTGTAGGTTATTCAAATAGACATTTCAACTCCCAATCGGACTTTGTAAATATAGACTTTTATCATAATAATTTTCTTTTAAACAGTCGATGATCAAATCCCACAACTAATAATCTATGTAAATATGGTTATATTCTTATGTATTTATAATAATTATGTACGTTCTCTATGCAAATCTCTATGTTTCCAAGTAGACTAGTTCGCCTTTATTAACTCGTAGGAAAATAGATTAATAGACTAAACCAGTATTTAGTAGTAATCTACTTCGTCTTGACTCGATTAATCACGCAAAAGAGGCAAAATAACGAAATAAAAATTATATAATCGATGAGAATGAAAAAAAATTTAAGGTTTTTTTAGGGACGGGTTTGTAATGGATTGGGTTGGAAAATAGAAATGATGATAATAACGTGTTTAACATATTTAGAAGACATTCACGGGAATAATATTATTCTACTAAGGTTATATTCATTTCGACTCTTTGTCTATTATCGCTATCTCACGTGTATTTCGCACAATGTAAAAAAAAAAAAGTGGCGTGTATACCTTTTTCTCCTTTTCCGAATTACCATATTTGGAAGCTTGAATAATAGTAATAGTATCACTTGTGATTAGAAAGTGGAGAATGAATCGGACAGAACCAATAATACAAATGTATTGACTGGTTTAATAATGTGCTTACGGATGTACTAAAATAATAAATTAAGTATCAATAAATGGAAACTGGGGGAGTATGTAATTAATATAGAAACAAATATTCACTTCTCCTTGCATCCTTCTTTCTCTGATACAGAATGCAGAAAAAGCCAACTGTGATACATGTCCATTTATTTGCAATGCGCACAACACTTGAACAAATTCAGCCTTGTTAACAATAGCTCTAGATGTAATATATCTCAAGCATCGCTATCATTCGCTTTACCATGGTGTTATCAATAAATATAACTCTATCCTTTTTGTCTGACATCACGTCACACACAGTTCTGAAGAAAGTATTTCTTTCTTTCAAAATACTTTTTATTGCTCGCGTAAGCGTAGCATATTAAAGCAAATGCATGTGTTCAGGGAAGGCTGTTTCACATGGTAACAATAGGCATTATTGTAGATTTTGGAGGGGGTGTGTGTATGTGTATGTGTATGTGTGTATATGTCGTATGTGTGTGTATGTTGTATTCGTATGTTGTTGTGTGTCGTATGTTGTTGTATGTTATTGTTATGTGTGTACGTTGTTATGTTGAATGTTGTTATGTGTGTACGTTGTTATGTTGAATGTTGTTATGTGTGTACGTTGTTATGTTGAATGTTGTTATATGTATGTTATATGTTATATGTAAATATGTCCATATATGTGTTATATGTGTGCGTAAATGTATATGTATATGTATATGTATATGTGTGCCATATATGAGTAGCGAGAGCATTGGTATTAATCTCTCATTACTCATTTGGCTGTAAGTTATTATCGCCATCTTGTGACGGGTGCATTCATTCGCCAATTATTTATTGAAACATTTGCTCAGTCAATAATGGTCAGCTGGCATGTTCTTTTTCTCACATGTCAAGCAGACAAATCATCGAGTTTCTTGTGTGTAATTAATTATCGTTCTGCAGTTTCGCATAACACCTCCCCCTCGCCCTCCTTCTCTCTCGCCCTCCCCTTTCCCCTCTCTCCACATCCCCTCCCCCCAAAAAAATTTTATACTTTTTGTGTTCCTCATACGATGTGAGAACAATATCCAGCATTCTGTTAATGAGCTGAGGTGTGTTGACAAATTATTTGCGCTGAGAAATATCAGCTGACAAATCTAGAATGCATTTGTGTTTTGATGTAACATTGTACATCCATCATAAATCAGGTCATCTACTCAGGCAATGTTGCTCGCACCACATAGATGAGAGAGGACTTGGTATGAGAGAGTGAAACAAACCTAAGACAAGTGGGTTAGACTGTGCTTCGTGTATCACGAATCCTATTGATGCACCCCGCATAAACAAAAAATGTTACCCACACTCAAATTATGTGAATGAAAAATTATAATACGCCTTATCCAATGCCCAGCAAACCTTAAAATTAAAGTTGTGATGTGAGGACTGGCCAGACCACATCAAAAGATCAAAAGGTTTGTTCTTAAAGTTGTTTCACATTTTTACTATTAACAAAACAGGTAAAGGCTGGTTACCAACCCATAACCACTTTTTCGATATTCAACGTCGGGGACTCTTTTCGATTGACAGCAATTATACGCTCACGATGGTTCCGGTCTAACCGTGGCTTGTCTGTAAATATGCTTAGACCGCTACATTTCCGAGTTAAAAATCCCCGATTTGTCTTTGTCTTTTGTCTTCCAAGACTAAACATGACTAGCCCCAGCCCCAGCCCAGCCCAGCCCAGCCCAGCCCAGAAAATTGCCAGAATTCCATCGCAAGAGGATTCTCTATAAGGCTTAGGTATTTAAAAGTCTGCATGGCATAACCAATAAACAGATCTGATGTTTTAGCAGATGTGTTATTACATGAGAAGAACAATGAGATGTTCTACAATAAATTCGGTGAACATTTGAAATTTCACGCAACCATTTTTTTTCCGTATCTTTTAACCAATTATATTTCTCTTGTCATCCAACAAGCGATGGCGTGATATTAGACAATACCTGAATAACCAGTTAAACAGTCTCTATAAATTCTCCGAAAAAGATTTGGAATTCCCGCGTAATAAGGGCTAGAATTAGCCGTTAATAGTGGGATTCACCAATTATTAATTAATAGTAATATTAATATGTGAAAGATATTCTAGTAAGACACTGTTGAACATAGTTCAATTGTTCCCACGCTAAAGCAACAACAAAGTGAAATGGCTGTTGTAGCTAAGGGTAAATGACGCGCACAACCTATGGACTATTTTTCATCGTTGCAATGTGTTTAATATAGAGTTATTAGAATATTTACATTGGAATTACGATTATTATTAGAAGCGTTTTAAAGAAAAAAATTTGGTCCATATGTTTTCAAAATAAAAATCTTCAAGGAATATTTATGCAAAAGTAAAATGAATGGAGATGAACGAGGATTAATCATGAATTTGTGTAGTGAATTATTAGTTGAGATGACAACTAATTATCTATTCTTTCCAATAACAAATCAAAAAACCAGGCTTTTCTCCTCCAACTTTTAGTCCAACTCTTAGCTTACGTACTGATCAAGACGGCGTAATTTTGTTTCATAACGATAACTTTTTATCTCGTCACATATTTAGTAGCCCATTGATTGATTAGCATCGTTGATGGATTGAGACGATATCGCGATAGAAAGGAAAAGGCAGAACATGACGTGCTTGCAAAGCATTAATAGCTCGCGAATGTGACCGTAAGAGGCAATTAGCAAAGAACTTTTGGCATGATTGAGAGCGTTTCTATTCGATCCGGAGATTCACTAATACTGTAATAGTAAACTTGCAACTTGTTCTTCTTATTTGTCTAATTTGCTAAATCCTGGTTATTACTACATTTTCCGATATAGTTATATCACTATATTTCGCCGAGTTATTGCCATACTAATAGTCGCGAACAACCCTTCAAGTATTTACTAACCTCGTATTGATCTGATCCAAGAAATGAGGGATATTCCCATGATGATAGGGAGTCGTTACAAATTAATATTACCCTTTACTAATTAATTACAGTAGTAATTACAACGACAATTAATTGATTCTAAAGAACAATACGAGCTATTATCTGTTGGGGGATTAACTTTAACCCTTTTCATTCAGACGATGTTCCAATCGCAGTTTGTATTCCCAAACTAATATATTTTGTTATTGTCATTGTTATTGTTATATGCACCCCACAAAATAACATGTTTGTGTTTATTTGCTCGAACGTTGCCGAAAAGAAAGAATTTTCAACAGGAACAACAATAACAATACGCAATCAACAAGTACACTACTGCTACACACACATATTAGCCCCTATGAAAAAAAAAGCAACCTTTGGAATCGAGGATTACAAGATGGGCGTCATCTGAGGCAACATAATTAGTTACAGAAAGTTTATTGGTATGTAAATATATGTGTAAGTGTACAGGATGAACGGGTGCAACGAAGCCAAGTTCAAGAGGGTAAATAATAAAACCTTCGTATTAACAACCGAGTAGAACAAACTCAAAACAATGACACAACGCGCTGATTACTCCGCAATCTCCACATGCACAATCAACAATTAAGGAATTGCAGTTTAGGGAAATTCCACACGCAGAGACGCTATATTAATATTACATGTCTTGACACATCACCCTGTTATTTGCACGGCTTTCTTGGGGATCTTATGTTTAATAGCTACAGCTGATGTGGAAAGGGGTCGTAAGTACTACACACAACCTAATACTGTAATCATATTAATATGACCTTACTCTATTACTATTGCATATTATCCTATTATAATTAATGTTAGGAAAACTCGTGATTTATTTGATACTTGATGACGAAAGTGCAAGTGAGTTTGAGTTGTATATATACGTAAGTTACACGATATCCCGTGATAAAAGATAATAATGTGCGCAGGTTGCGCGCTCAAACTTTAATATTAACGAAACATGACTACATTCTGCGGTATACAAATACAAGGAATACGCTCATTTCATCCTGATAGTCCGGAATTAATCGAGCTCAACCCGCCATTGACTGTTATTGTTGGTCATAATGGTGCCGGAAAGACTGTAAGACCCTTTGTCAGCAAGTAGACAAAACATTTCAAACGATATTTCTAATCACAGCTGATGTAATATTTGTACATAGACTATCGTCGAATGTTTGCGATATGTAACTACTGGAAAACTTCCGGGTGGTACTTTCGTCCATGATCCAAGAGTATGTCACGTGAGAAGATAATCAAGCATTTAGTATTCAAAAGTATTCTTTTTTTAACAAGTTCTCCCCCCTGGGGTTATCCAACGCGGAAAATCAGTTATTACAACGATCTGAAGTTAAGGCGCAAGTCCGTCTGCTGTTCAAAGACGAAAAAGATAACAAATATTTATGTTGTCGATCCTTGAGTGGCACCGCTACTGGGAAGGGTAAAGGAACTTCTACTATATCACAGAAATCGGTTGATGGTGTGTTTGCCATTCACAATGCAGAGAACGTGGTAAACTGATAGTAAATTATATTCGGTCTTTGTATCTTGTTAGTGTCTTTATTACTTACTACGATGTCATCTTAATAGCAAAGAAGCGTGACAATGAAATGTAGTGATCTGGATCTTAAAGTGCGAATGCTTCTTGGAGTTCCAAAAACAATTCTCGAGAGCGTTATTTTTTGTATACAGGAAGATTCGAATTGGTAAGACTTTATATGTAGATTTGTGTTCTCTTATTCACAATCGATGAAAATGATTGCTATATGCTTAACGTGGAAAGGCCCCTGGCGGATCCGGCAACTCTGAAAAAGAGATTTGATGAAATTTTCGGTTTGGACGGGTGAGTTTAATATCACAGCAAATGATCTTTGTTCTTCAATAATTTTAACTCCTTTGGATTACAGGTGGAAAGCAACGCTAGATACTTTTAACGTTCCAGAGAAAAAACTACTCGAAAGGCAAAAAGTGACTCACACACAATTACAGTATCTAAGGACTGAGAACGATATGGCCGAACAAGTAAGATGGATTAACGCATGAGCGAAATTGGCATATTACGTATCATATTTCACATGTCTGTATTTCTTATTATTAGACTAAACAAAGGTTACAAGAGTATCAAGCGGAGGAATCCAGGTGTGAGCAAGTTTCCGCTGATCTTGATCAACGTATCGAGCAAGTCGAGACACAAATCGCTACTCTGGAGAATATCCGAGATACTCTTAAAGAAAAAGAACACGACAAGACTATGCTTGAAAAGTCTGTTAGCAGCCTCAGAGAGCATATAAATGTGTTACAAGGTAACTGTCTGTCGTTTTTCTGATACACACAGGGACCATGCGGCAGTTTATAAAAGCTTCTATTGTTAGCATCCGATGAGGAGCTTAATATGGAATTCATTCGTTACAATGAGGAGATTGATAAGCGTGAATTACGTCGTGAAGAACTCAGAGCAGACGTGGAGCGTATACGTAATGAGAAGCAGAGTTACGAAAATCAGATAATGGAAATGGAAAGACAAATAACCAGACATTCTATGAACATCGAAAACCATAAACAAAAAATTGCGGAACTCGAACAAGCTTTTAATGACGAAGCGCATCCGTTAAGAGATACTGTTCAGATTTTTGCAGATACTTTCAAGTCTCCAACGCGTATATCTCAGCAAAAAGGAGAATTAGTTAAAAGAAAGAATCAAATTGAGGTCTTCTTCAAACAGCTAAAGGCGGAAGCTCATCAGCGTGAGCAATATTTTGGACG